AAAAAAAAAAAAAAAAAAAAAATGAAGCATCAACATTATCAGCACTTTTTCCCTTACCTCAGTGACAGCAAAGCTTCTCTTTCCACAGGGAACCACCTTGTACCACTTGTCATGCAGCACATCCATGAACCCATGAGACTTGTACTGACTGATTAGCTCGGATATATTGGACGTCAGTGGAGAGTTGGGTGGAAGACCAATGCCATATCCTAGAAGAAAATATAATCTCAGATCAGCTTTTCGCCTGAGAGGTGCCTAAGAGGTTGCCACCACAATTGTGTGATGTTGCCATCAGACCTGGTAACAAGGGTAGGGTGAGCTTTCACTATCTTTCCTTCAAAGGACTCAGAGATGTCCAAGGTATGATTACCTTGGATCTGCTGCCTTTCTGAGAAGGAGAGGAGTCTGGAAAGGAGAGGAATGGGCTGCACACTGTGTTCTAGCGGCACATTGTATTCCAAGGCCTTCTGCCCCTGCCTTCAAGGTAATTTTTTTTAATGTTTATTTATTTTTGAGAGAGAGAACAGGAGAGGGGCAAAGAGAGAGGGAGACACAGAATCCAAAGCAGGATCCAGGCTCTGAGCTGTCAGCACAGAGCCTGACGTGGGGCTCGAACTCATGAACTGTGAGATCATGACCTGAGACGAAGTCAGACATTTAACTGACTGAGACACCCAGGCACCCCTACCCTTCAAGGTAATTTTGAGAAGCTATCTTTGAGGCCTTTACCAGGGCTAGGACTCCCTATCCACCTCTCCTAAACCCCTCCTCTGAACCTTGAACACACAAAATTGGATTAATTACTATCTCTTGTTTATGGCATTTTCTTATCATTGGTCACTTTTGTTAGTTTATTAATAAGGAGACCATGTAAGCATAGAATATAGCATGAGCACTGAAACATCCACAAAAACATGTCAAAAAAAGAGAGAGAGAGAGAGAGAGAGAGAGAGAGAGTCTGGTAATACCAAGTGTTGGAGAAGATGTAGGTCAGTAAGATGTAGGTCACTTACATGTTGCTTCTGTGAATACAAACTGATATAACCATTTTGGAAAATAGTTTGCTATTATTTTGTATAGTTAAACATTTACATGCTCTAACATGAGCAATTTTATGTACATTCCTAAAGAGCTCCTCCACAACCACATGGGAATATGTACCAGAATGTTCCTAGAGGCACTGTATGTAATAGCAAAAACTGGAAACAACCCAAATGTTTTTAAAAAATATTTATTTATTTTTGAGACAGAGGCAGAGTGTTCAAGAGGGGGAGAGGAGCAGAGAGACAGAGGGAGCCAGAGGATAGATGTGGGGCTCCAACTCACGAACAGTGAGATCATGACCTGAAGGGAAGTCAGAAACCTAACCAACTGAGCCACTCAGGTGCCCCCCAAATTTTCTTTGACAAGAGAATGAATAAATAAATTGTGGAATGTTTACACAATTGTAGTATTATACAGTGTGAAACATATAAACTAGAACTGCATGGGATAATATGGATGATTTCTAGCAATACTGAATAAGAAAGATCAGTCCCAGAAGATTCCAGCATGATTCCATTGTGTAAATGTAAACACATTCACAACAAAACAGTCTATTTTTAGGAATTCGTATGTATGTGGCAAAAGTATAGTTAGAAGAAAATCAAGGAAATGATAAGCCAAATATCCAGGACAGTGGTTATTTAAGGCAAGAGAGGCAGGGGGGAAGACTAAGGAGGAGCAAAAAGGTGGATGTAATGTGTTGTCAGAGTTTTATTTATCAGCATGGACTCTGTATTCTCACTCTGTGCGGCTTTACTTCCCTTCCAAGCTATTAATTCACTGTTTTTTTCTTTGATGAACCATGTGAAAAAGCTAATTAACTACATTTTGTCTTTAACTATTGGACAGCATGGTCAAAAAAAGATGTTTTGCCCTCAGGATGATTGAGGAAGATAAATTAAAGGTACAGCTAGCTCTTTTTTCACCGATAAAGACTAAAATGCTGTCAAGAATTCAAAGATGCTTCATGAAAACAAACGCTCGCTATAATTATTCCATCCTACAATTTATTTCCAAGGACATTAGCTTTTGTTGTTGTTTTTTTATTGTGGATACACAAATCCTTTTTTAAAAAAATGAGGCTTGAGATACGTTTATAACCAATAAAAGACAAAAAAAAATAATGCAGAAAAAATTTGAGTTTTAAAGAGCTGTATGGTGTTTTTCCCCTGATAATTTTGTTTGTTCCCTAACAATGGCAAGTTAAGGAAATGATGACAATGTCAAGAGCATGATTAGAATTTTCCATCCAAAAAGCTATTTTGAGTGTCTACTTTGTGCCTAGTAGTTTTGGTTTGAAAAGCAAGACTGACAAGAAAAGACTTTAAATAGGCAGCCTGTTCTTCTGCTGATGTTATCATTAAATAACATTTTTTTATAATAGGTAACTATAAGGAAGTAAGCAGTTTTCTTTAGAAATTTTTATTATAATGAATGCTATTGACAACTCAGTTGTACATTCACTCACTCAGCCCTTATTTACATGTCAGACACAATAATGGTCAAGTGTCTAATAACATTCAATGACTGACTGACTCATGCAATCATTCATTCACTCATTCATTCACTGAACAAATATTTGAGTGAATAAGCACTGTGTTCAGTGGTCAGGATTCAGCAGTGAGCAAGGCAGATATAGTCCCTGCAGTCATTGAGTATGTACCTTAACAGGGAGATAGTTTTCACTGCACCATGTAATGATTATACCATTACAAGTGAGATAAATGCCATGAGAGAGAACTGGGGCATATACAACATATAGCAGGAGGAATTGGAACTGTCTGGTAGAAATGGCTTGATGGTCAGGGTAAGTAGGCCAGGTTTGCTGAATATTACTGTATTTTCCCTGAGGCAGTAATTTTCCATGACAATTTCTAATGTGAATTGAGAGATGACTATATACCATGTTCTCTAATAAACTTTTTACGTACCTTACCCCATTTTGCGCTTCATGCACTAGATGAATACTGTAGACTATGGTATACAGTTCAGTTAAATCACTCTGGAATTTAATAACAAGAACTAGAACATATTAAGCCCTACTGTGTACCAGATAATATTCCATATGTGTCTAGCCCTTATATGAACTTACGGCACAATACATATTACTTAGAGACTTAAAGATTGAGTAAGTAAACTGCCCGAGGTGACAGAGCTCATAGTTGTCAAAGCTAGCATTTGAAAGTAGGTCTGTCTGAGTGCAAAACCAATGCTCTTTCCATTGTGTCCAGGACAGCATGTGAGCAAGACAAGAGAATACATGGCTTATTTCCTCTTCAACACAGGCCCTATCACTACAGTCATATTGATGTCAACTCCCCAAACCAGGCAATTCAGTAAAAAAACACAATCATCTAAACTGGTGGCTTGTTTTTAGCAGACACAAGTATATATTATTCATAAGCAGATTTTGTTTATAAACTTTTCAATAAATTGTGTAAATATAGCATAAGCACAGCCCTAATAGGTATGTGATTGTACCTATATGAGGGAATTAATTAGCAAGGACACTCCCTGACTATATTGTTTCTCCTAAAAATCTTCTCAAAGCCAACAACTGCAGCCTAGGTTAGTGTAATAATGGCAGAACTGTTTTCAGTTCTCATTTGATAAGCATTTGTTGCACACCTATTCATCTGTTCATTAATTCCACAAACGTGTTGAATGCTTATTCTGTGCCGGATATTCTGCCAAGGGCTGTGGAGACTTCCAAGTTAAGTCAGACACTAATTCTATCCTCATGAAGCTCATGGTGGTAAGGGGGAGAGGAGACAGACATAAATAAGTACATAATGTGGTAGAAAGTTATAGGACTTTTCTGGAAGACAAGGTAGATGATGCATAAATTCAACAAGGTAAAATATAAAAACCAGATGCGATGAGGAGGATGGATGAAACTCTATGGAGTTCAGAGGAATGCGATCTTGCTACCAGATGAGAAGGGTAAGAGGAGGCATCTTAGACTGATTCTTGATAGTGGCATTTGGGGTAGATGAAACAAAAGACATGATGTAAAATTTAAAAAGCTGAAATTAATACTTACGATGAATCTACATATTTTAAGAATAGTTTTTTGGCACTACAACAGAAGTATTAAAAACGCCTTGGGGAAAAAGCTATGTTGAATTTGCAGAGAGACATTTATAAAAAATTATTACATAGGAAATAATAAATATTAAATCACCCTATTCCATCATGTCAATTTGCAATTGACTGCTAAAAATAGATTACTGTCCTTTTTAATTTTCTATTTTAATATGGATATTGAGTATTGGCATTTAAATGATTATTGGCATTAATAATAATTATGAACCAATTAAAACAAACTATGCATACAGAACAAAGGGAGAAATAGGAAAAAAGTTAGTGGTGATTAGAAGAGGTATTTGTTAAAAGACATAAAAATCCACTTTATTCAGAAACATAAAATAGTAAAACCCTGAAGGTTTCATTTCTGTCCTTTTTATCAGTTGCTTTTCAAATTTGATTGTGTTCATTGGTCAAAGAATTCTGATTTTTAAATTGCTGACTCAACCTAGCAGCCTGAGTTGCTTTCATTATCATTAGAAACGTGGCTTTGCAATAAAGACGAGGTTGACTATTTTGTGGTTGATGGATGAAGCAAAATGGAATCCTTCAACCCTAAAGATGAAGGCATCAGGCACCCTGGAAATTGGATACAGCTTAATAGCCCAAGAGAACAATTTTCAGAACAGAATCCTGATCTTTTCCCCATGGATAAATCAGCTTTACTCAGCTAAGAGTAGTAGAAATATATTTTGGCTAGCAAATGTATAGTTAGAAATTCACAGACTAAAAGAATCTTCCTGAAATACAGTTGGGAAATAGATATTTTGAAAATGAGATCTTAGATAGGGTTAAAAAGACTTCAGGAAGAAAGGTTAATTCATTTTTGCTGTCTGTCCTTACAATACTGTATTTAGCTACGCTGGGGCAATGGCCATTGAGAAAATAGGTTTCTCTTACCCCCAGAACATCAAAGTGGAGAGAGAAGTGTGTGGGAGAAGTTGAGATATGTGAAGGCTATCTATCCGGAATAATTTTATAGGGAATTGGTCTCAATCTATGAATTCAATATACCGGATGATAATAATTTATTGGGCACTATCTGCTTGTCCATGCTTTACCTGTATTATTTTACTTAACCTTCACAATAGCTCCACTCTAGATGTACTATTCATAAACCCATCATGCAGATGAGGAGCCTGGAGAACAGATGAAATGACCAGACCAATGGGGCACAGTTAGTAACAGCAGCTCTGTTCTAACCCAAGCGCTCAGACTCCGGCACTATATTACGTATCAGCGGAAAGCAAGTAAAGGAACAAACTCAAAAACAGGCAAAGGTCTTTGGCAGAAAGGTCACAAATCATTACTGTGCAGTTCCATTACTCTTTCTTCTCATTTGACCTTTATTGTCAGCTAACTCCAATGCATAAATTTGGGACATGTATTCATTTATCTCAACACTTTCTTCTTTTCCAGAGCACCCTATATGTCTTTGTGTCCCTGATGTGTGGTATTTAATATGACGAAAGGCTTTCCACATGCTTCTGAATTCTTAATAGTTTTGGTTTGCTGTGCTGAGTCCTCAGGAAAAGGTTTCAAAATCAAAGTGAAGCCACTGGCTCACATTTGCCTCAGTTTTACCTTTTAAGCCTAAATAAATGCAGAACGGTGAAGCTGGGAGGGGGAATCAGTAGTCACAAGCAGTTGGTGTGATATCAATACTATATAAAGTGAAGGTACATTCAACATGAAGCAATCCAAGGACTGTTTTCCCTCTTAAGTTCTCAAAGCCATTTAAGCACTTGGGAAAGTAGGTGCAGACTCTCAGGATCCTTTGACGAACTACATCAGTAAGTGAATTAAGTACTTATTTCAGATTTAACCTAATGAGTTACATCATAGGTAATACATCGTCTATTACATACCTGCTATAACACAGTTGATACAGATACATATATATATAAAACATTTCTGTAAGCTAAAAGGGTAAGAATTGGTCATAAATTGCTTTCATGACATTTTTATATAACTATAAGGTCTGATTAATTAATAAGTCCACATCTTTATAAGTTCAGGAAACATATATGTTCTTAAAGCATATATTTTTTAAAATTGCATTGAGAGAAATACTCCCTAAAAAGTTAGAAGATTAATTTTTTTTTTAAAGCAGCAATCAAGACTTTTACTAGTATCTCGATCACACCGTTTTTTGTAACTTATAAGTATCCTCCCTTTGTGTTTTACCAAGTTCTGTTTGTAAGCTGTGAACTTGTTGGCAGGGGCAGTACTGAATTAAATTTTCTGATTTGCACCTTATCCAGACTAAACCAGCAATGTTTTTTTTTTTTCCTTTTAAAATAAACCAACAATGATGAGAATGTTTTCTATTCAAATCTGCAGTCTTTCTGTTCTCTTGCAGAGAGAGCTCTTCATGCGCCATTTTGTCCTCATCCCCTTTGAAAACAATGTGGTATGTGGAGATGATGGGAACTGTAAGACACTAAGTCTCAGGAGCACAGATGGAAATGTAAACAGGAAACCAGTGGGGAGTTAATTGTGTGGCATCTGGCACAGGGGTCTAGCAGAGGCAAAAAGCCATCTCACCACTGTCTTTTGACAAGATAGGGTTGCACCCTGAAGACAAAGGTGGAGAATGGAGTCCTTCATTCTTATGCCCGCTACAAATGATTCATTGTTAGTAGCTGCTAAAGGCAGAAGGGACCTCAATTACCCAGTGCATCTAGGACAGAAAAAAAAAATCTAACATCTCTTCCATATCCCCAGATGCCACAAAAAATGGGATTTTTTTCCATTGTTACGTCAAAATGGGTTTATATAATAAATGTTCTTTTGGTTTCTTGCTTTTCTTTTTCTTTTCTTTTTTTCTTTTCTTTTCTTTTTTTTTTCAGACTTTGCTATTTCAGATTGTAGTTTTAAGAGAAGACAACTACCACTAAATCTCTCTCTTCTTGGGTTCTATCCCTGGTTCAGGTGGAGGTCATTTTGCTTGGAGAAAAGATTGATTTCTCTTAGGAGAAGCTTGAAGAAACAGCATCAGCTCTTACATTCTCATTCACCACAAAAACAAAGACTGAAGTAAAAAATTTGCTGATACGTTTAGGGAAGACAGAAACCAACTGTGGCTGAGAAATTGGAATCAGAATAGTTTTGATACACTGGTTAACATAGAGGAAAGAAGAGTTTTCTGGAAATAGGGCTTGTGCACCCCCATGGGACTGTTTCAAGTCAAAGTGTTTTCTGACAAGTGAGCATGGCTGTCTTGAGAGCCAGCATGTACTGTCAGAGAAGGGAAGCTGGGAATTGGGAGATGTGAAATTTGCTGGTTCAAACTATCAGCTCCATGTATCAACTGCTGTCCAGAATGAAAGGAGAGACTGACAAAGCAATCCTTCTTTGGTTCTGAAGTTTGACTGATTGGTTGATCACGTTGGGAGCCAAAATTTGCTGCCAGTGGGGAGAAAGGCAAACCTGAGGTCCCAAAAAAGGTTTTGTTTAGGACTCTTAAAGGTTCCTAAGGTATAGAAGGAGATTTCTTTTTCTATTGTTTTCCCAGCTAGTGGAAAAGCATGTGTTTAGGAACCAGGAGGTTTAGACGATTATTCCAGGATAATCATCTAATTGTGTGATTATGTAAAAATGATGTAATGTCCCTGGATTTTCTTGTGGATAAAACAAGTAGATTGGAGTAAATCAACACTGAGGTCCTTCCAGTTGTAGAATGCAATCATTCTAGTTTCGTGCCGGATTCATTAAAGGATTTGGTCATAAGAAAAAACAGGTTAAATGAAAATTGTTACACTGTCAGCTTGCCACCCCTCTCAGATAATCTGAAGCAACGTCATTTGGGTAACAGCAATGTTTTTTGTTGTTGTTTTTTTAGTAATTGGGCGAATAAATTTTTGTGGGGTAGGTGAAAAATAAATTCCTAAGTTCAGCAACTTAATAGCTAAGTGCTTATGAGTTGAAAATGAAAACAAGGGAAGATGAATAGCATTTTGCCTCTGACTTTTGCGTTTCTGACTTGCGAGGTTGGCAAACTGAGCACATCCTGTGTTAAAGGGAATCGAGAGTGACTGGCTAATACCTTCTATAGCAAATGGCTTCCCCACTGTTAGAAGTTTGCAGTCAGCATCTATTGACACTTCATAATCCAGAAGGGCTTTGTCCATGATGAAGGCGTCTAGTTTCTCTGGATCATTCCTATATTTAAGACCAAGAGAAGAAAAGAGAAAAATGATTCATTAATGGACAGAAAGGTTGACAGCTGGTTTTTGTTTAGGGGACAGAAACCTGGACACAAAGGGCAGCCCAATCTAGGTAGCTGCTGACTCAGCCTGTTGACAACTCCCTGACCCGTAGAGAACAGAGCAGGGGAAACAGATACTCTTCTAAGACAGCATGACATCTTTCCAATGGTTTATCTACCATTTCCTTTTATTACTACTAAATCCAACAACAAAGCCAGAGCAACTGTGAATTAAATGGAAAGGTTCATTTCTCTCTCTTTTTTAAATTAATTTATTTACTTTGAGAAAGAGAGAGAGCACAAGCAGGGGAGGGGTAGAGAGAGAAAGAGGGAGAAAGAATCCCTAGCAGGCTCTGCACTGTTAGCGTGGAGCCTTACACAGGACTTGAACTCATGAACCTTGAGACCATGAGCTGAGCCAAAACTAAGAGCTGGACTCTTAACTGACTGACCACCCAGGTGCCCCACGGTTCATTTCTCTTACATTAACTGAATGACTCCTTTGTGTGAGACATGGTATTTATTATTCTCTGCACCCTGTATCACTCATAATGACTCTGAAGTGGTTGGTATTATCCCATTCTAGCAGATGACAAGGCTCAGAGAGTCAAAGTACAGGTTGCATGCAGGTTGATCCAGGTTACATAGCTAGTAAGTGTTGGAACCAGGTGGTCTCATTAATCAATATATGGAAAATTTTATTTTTTTCTGTTATGATCACTATCATATTCTTCAGAGATCAGACATCATTTCATATTTAGGAATACATATTAAGGAAACACAAATATGAGATCTGGCACTCCTAGGGAAAAGATGGTTGAGGTCTCTTTAAAGCCCATGAGCTAGCATTCAATAAATAGGGAGGGGAAGCACAGGTAATAGATCTCAGTGATCTGCTTTATTAATATACCTCCAGAGAATCACGTTTCACTCCCATCCTAGGAGGTGGTTCAGGCAAGAATCATTTAAGGTAGGTTTCCCTGGCCTGTATCAGTGAATCAGACGTGGACTGGGCTCAAGATGCCAACAGATGCCTTGTGCGTTCTTCATGTGTTCTCCCCATTTTTTGAATGTAGGCACAGAGATGGTGCAGAGGAAGAGGAAGATGTTTGAGCATTGGATGAGTTCCCATTTAGAAAGGAGGCAAGGAAGGAGGAGTTTCCAAAGTAACTATTTACAGTGTATGCAATGACTCTTGTTTTCAGCCACCGCAAATCCTTTTTGGAAAGTTATAGGACATACATCCATTTGAGAAAGGCTTTCCGACCCTCAGGGCTGTCCAACCATTTTGGCAAAGAGAATAGCCCTTCTCTATTCCATCTGGGCTCAGTCATTCCTCTCTTAGAGCCAAAGATGAGTCTATTGGAATTCGGTACAGTGGAGTGGCCTCAAACTCAGAATAGAACATGGCTAGGGCCCATCAAAAATCTAAAAGCAAAAGACACCCATAGACCCCTCTAAGATTCATCAGTGGGAAGGAAGTACATATTTACATGGACACAGAGTAAACAGATCAACTTCCCTTCTTAATGCCAATGAACACTGCTTCCTCTTTTTGCTCTTCCAGGAAGTGAACAGCTTATTCAAAATGCATTCCTTTTTCTAGGGGTATTGGATTTAAGTCGCAATGAGGACTGTCTTTAACGTTAACCAAAATAAAAAAACATCTCTCAGCTCCACAGCTGTGGGAAGCTTCAGAAAGGGTTGAGGATATGAACTGTCTCCTAGGAGCTAATGATGAGGAACCTTAATGGAATCTTGGCAATAAAATAAAAATCAAGCTGAAAGATGTTTCTCCAATAAAAGTTTTACTGCCACAGAACGAGAATGTACCTTGGGAGCTACACAGCAACAAGTTACCATTTACCAACACTCTGCAAATATTTGAGGTAGCAGTAACAATAGAAAAAAATTGGGGTTCAGTTTTTCTAACCAGTAATTGCTGAGGTCCAGTCTCAGTGGTATCCTTAAATAATTACTCTTGATTGTGGACTGCAAAGTGGAGTTAGTTATGACAGGTGTCTATGGCACAGGAAGGCAAGAAGCAATTAGCTCACAGACTCCCATGGGGCCCTGAATCACTGTGAGGATGTGGCTGGGTGTGATCCAGGTATAAGCAGCTTCTAGACTGGCTGAATCATCCTTACAGTTGGCAGGGCCCCTGGTTGTTTTTCCCATTATAGAATCCTGCTGTCTTTTTGAGAGTTCACTTAATAATACCCACACCACAAAATAATACATACATGACAATAATACATATACTATAGGTGACTCTAGAGGTTGTGTTCTGCAGGTCAGGGCTCTGGGATATTGGGGCGGGGGCGGTAACACAAGGACTGTGGTTTCTTGGAGTCGTGGCCGAGAGCATATCCAGTGACTGGGCCAAAAGTGGAGAGAGAAGCCCAAAGATAAGGAGTCAGAGGGCATTAATGGTAAATTCTGCCTGTATAACAATTTCACCTACCTCCATCAGCGAACCACCTGGGGAGCTTATTAAAATGCAGTTTCTGAGATGGAATCTGACTGTCTGCATTTCTCACAAATTCCCAAGTGCTAACTGGAACATGGATGTTGCTGGAACATGGACTATTCTTTGAGTATCAAGGACCTGCTTTTCTGTTATGGTTCCTAGACTGGCCTGCAGCAGTGATTGGATTCTAGGCACCTGGTTCTAATCCAGACTCTGCCACTTGCTAGTTAGATTACCATGGACAAGTTGCTTCTTTAAGGTCTCAGTGTCTTCATCTGTGCCTGCTTTTATTTATTTATTTATTTATTTAACACCCAAATCAGTTAGCATATAGTGCAACAATGATTTGCTATATATAATCTATATATATAGATTATATTATATATAATTATATATATTATCTATATATAATATAGATATATTATATATAGATTATTATATATATAGCTATATATAATCTATGAGTAGATTCCTTAATGCCCCTTACCCATTTAGCCCATCCCCCACCCACCCCCTCCAGTAACCCTGTTTGTGCTCTATTTAACAGTCTCTTATGTTCTGTCCCCCTCCCTGTTTTTATATTATTTTTGCTTCCTTTATGTTCATCTGTTTTGTATCTTAAAGTCCTCATATGAGTGAAGTCATATGATATTTATCTTTCTCTGATTGACTAATTTCACTTAGCATAATACCCTCTAGTTCCATCCACGTAGTTGCAAATGGCAAGATTTCATTCTTTTTTTTTAAAATTTTTTTAATGTATTTTTATTTATTTTTTGAAGGAGAGAGAGAGAGACAGAGCATGAGCAGGGGAGGAGCAGAGAGAGAGGGAGACACAGAATTAGGAGCAGGCTCTAGGCTCTATGCTTCAGCACAGAGCCCAACACGGGGCTCGAACCCACAAACTGTGAGATCATGACCTGAGCTGAAGTCGGATGCTCAACTGACTGAGCCACCCAGGCGCCCCAAGATTTCATTCTTTTTGATTGCCAAGTAATACTCCATTGTATATATATACCACATCTTCTTTATCCATTCATCCATTGATGGACATTTGGTCTCTTTCCATACTTAGGATATTGTTGACAGTGCTGCTATAAACATTGGGGTGCATGTGCCCCTTCGAAACAGCACCTGTATCCCTTGGATAAATACCTAGTAGTGCAACTGTGGGGTCGTAGGGTAGTTCTATTTTTAATTTTTTGAGAAACCTCCATACTGTTTTCCAGAGCGGCTGTACCAGCTTGCATTCCCACCAGCAGTGCAAAAGAGATCCTCTTTCTCCACATTCTTGCAACATCTGTTGTTGCCTGAGTTGTTAACGTTAGCCATTTTGACAGGTGTGAGGTGGCATCTCATTGTGGTTTCGATTTGTATTTCCGTGATGATGAGTGATGTTGAGCATTTTTTCATGTGTCAGTTGTGTACCTGCTTTTCTAACGAGTTCATCTCTCCAGACTAGAGTGGAGACAACTCTGAGCACCAGGGCCTTCTCAGGTGAAGCTTCCAGAATAAATGAATAGCTTGAGTCAAGTGGACCTGGGGACTGCCACAGTAGTGGCTCCTCTTGCTCTTTCACACTGCCAAAAGAGCCCAGTTTGTCAGATTACTATCTAGCTGGGAGCCACTGCCATCTCCCTGACATCTTACTCTCTCTCTCAGCCATGAATTTGCTTGAACTACAGAAGAGTACTGAAGAAGGGCTGGAAGGCAAAGGAGCACTACACTCTGTGTTACAGATGGACTCTAACATTTTAGTGTTCTTGCAAAACTGATAGTGCCATTTCCTAGTGCTTACACACCCTACAGAATGTTATAAATCTGAGAACCCAAGGCTTCCTCTCTAGACTCTGTAAAAAGTCTGTAAGTAGTTTTAGGGGCCTGTCACCAGAGTTCTTGAGAAACATAAAGCCCTTATGTCCCATGAAGCTATTTATTTATTTCTCTTATTTTTTTATAAAATTAATTTATTCTGGTGGGGAGAGAGAGAAAGAGAGAGAATGAGCAGGGGAGGGGCAGAGGATCTGAGGTGGGCTCTGCACTGACAGCAGAAAGCCTGATGTGGGGCTTGAACTCACAAACTCTAAGATCATGACCTGAGCTGAAGTCAGATGCTTAACTGACTGAGCCACCCAGGTGCCCCTGTTTCCCTTCTTCCTTAAAAGAGAATTTGAAGTGGCAAGTCCCTTCATCCATTGGGAGGATTACTGTGGTTGACCATAGATAAACCAGTTTCCTGGGCAGCACAATTTTAGGGGTTGGAGGCTTGAATGTATGTCATTGTCCTGAGACCATCAGGCACAAGGGAGATGGGACTGCTCACCCTCATGCTGTGGTGCCTATCAGGAGCCATTCATCCCCTTCTCCCAGGCAGACTACATGAGCGAATCCCTAACTGCACCATCCTCCTTTGCATTCAGCTTCGTTGAATTACAGGCTCTGATAATCTGCCATGGCAATGTGATTGCTCTTGATTGCTTCTCATAAATTCTGATGAGAAGAATGCAGGCATGGGAATCATTGCCTTTTATCTTATTTCCTTTCTACAGGAAATCTCTAAGATAAATTCCATTTCCTTATGGCCAAAGGAGACAGTCCATGGGCTTAGAGATTCACCGTGCAGGGAAGGGTTGCCTTGGGACACTTTATCCTCTGGCCACATTCCCTGACTGTTTGATCATTTCAGCACCATTGTTTCCTCGGTGATGTCAAGCCAACATTTACTTCCCCCACCATCTGCTACGCTAATGACCCCACTGGCACTTTGAGCAAAGCTACTGCCAACTGGGGACTATGCAGGTAACTAGTAATCTAGGTCACATAATTAAATGCACACTATTCCATACTGCCTTCTCAATCTCACACAGTGTGAGGCATTACTGAACACAAAGTGGGTATATTTAGCTGTCATTTTAAAAAACCAACACATACTATATATTGGTAGCTAAGATTTCTCTTTCAGTAAGAACTTTTTGAACCCAAGAGGTTGACACTCACTTCAAAAACTCCACTCCATCAGGGGTAGCTGGGACGTTGTACCTTCTCATATACTCATGCATCTCTGGGAAGCTTTGCCTCACATAATCTTCAGCACTGCTTTCCCGGACAGTTCCAAAGCGGAAGCCTTGAGAGGGATGATGTAGCTATGAGGGAGGGAAAAAAAAAAAAGATATTTAATATAAATTATTCTTAGAATTGTTTTCAAAATTTTCTTCTTCCATCATTCTTTGGGACCTAATAGTGATTTAGAATTTTCCAAACACACATCGTCATTAACATGTACATAGAAATGTGCAGATACGTACCTGCTCTTTCATATCCTAGCTATCACATAAGTAATTGTTCCAACTTCAGAAGCAAATGTATGGAAACAATGGACATAAAACAATTTTTTACTTTATGTTGAGAACCTATCAAAATTCTTCAGACACTGTATAAACTTGCATGTGGAGTCAGCCTATTATAAATTGCATATCAGACAAAGGTATAAAGATAATAAATTAAAGGTTGTGCTCCTTGGTTAGAACTACACAAAGGCCAAGATAAAACCTTGCATCCTGAGGGGTGCCTGGGTGGCTCAGTTGATTAAGCGTCTGACTTTGGCTCAGGTCAAGATCTCACGGTTCGTGGGTTCAAGCCCTGCGTTGAGCTCCGTGCTGGCAGCTCAGAGCCCAGAGGATGCTTCGGATTCTGTGTCTCCCTCTCTCTCTGGCCATCTCCTGCTCATGCTCTGTCTCTCTCTCAAAAATAAATAAATGTTAAAAAAATTTTTAACAACAACAACAACAACAACAACAACAACAACAACAAACCCTTGGATCTTGAGATTGAAATATGCCCGATCCAAAGCAGTGAATACATCTGTTTATCTGTTTTATGCTATATTTTAGGTTTGTTGAATTTATATTTGGTATAATTATGAAATTATCTCTTTCCTTTAGATAACTGTATTTTTCAGTGCTGAATCATGCTGTATACTTGCTCAAATGGAATGGGATGTGCGACAGTTAGGAGCCACAGAGGATAAGGGGAGCAGGGGTAGACACACTATTAATAGTTCTCACACTAATATAGTGCACAACCTTGCAGTGGGGAGAAGTAGCACCCTGGGAGCTCTGCAGAGGCTTTCTGTCACCAAGGATAATAAAGATACAGCACGTGCAACACTATTTTTCATGAAAGTTGTACAGAGGTATTAATGCAGCATCTAAATTTAAGATTATTTCCAATATAAGATTGAACTGGGATTGGGCCACGTTATAAAAATAGTTGAATATCCTGTAGTCAGCAGTATTTTAGAGATGATACTTCTCCACAACTGTTAAATTATAGTTCCCGTACTTTGTGTTCTGCTTCATGTTAACATATTTGATATTATTGATTCTGACATGAAGTCCTGGGACAGGAATCCATGGTTGGGCTTCATGAAGTTTATAAAACTCCTGAAATTGTAGGCAGCATTTTATTTTATTTTTTTAATAATTTTTTAATGTTTATTTATTTTTGAGAAACAGAGAGACAAAGCACTAGCGGGCGAGGGGCAGAGAGAGAGGGAGACACAGAATCTGAAGCAGGATCTGGGCTCTGAGCTGTCAGCACAGAGCCCAACATGGGGCTCGAACCCACGAGCCGTGAGATCATGACCTGAGCCAAAGTTGATTGCTTTACTGAC